CATCTGGCTCTAAAGTTCGTCACACATCTGGCTCTAAAGTTCGTCACACATCTGGCTCTTAAAGTTCGCCACACCTGGCTCTGAAGTTCGTCACATCTGGCTCTAAAGTTCGCCACACCTGGCTCTAAAGTTCGCCACATCTGGCTCTAAAGTTCGCCACACCTGGCTCTAAAGTTCGTCACACATCTGGCTCTAAAGTTCCTCACATCTGGCTCTAAAGTTCGTCACACCTGGCTCTAAAGTTCGTCACACCTGGCTCTAAAGTTCGCCACACCTGGCTCTAAAGTTCGCCACACCTGGCTCTAAAGTTCGCCACATCTGGCTCTAAAGTAGTACAGTGGGCTTCGTCCTCAACTCACACTCGAAGATCCTTGGTTCGTCTACCCGGAGCCACACACAAATAAAACACAGGAGATAACTAAATTGATTTAGGCTTTTATTCTATAAATAAAGTTTGTCTTATTAATAATTTTATGTAACGTGATATCAGTGTGTGTTTGTGACTTAAACTGTATTATTTTAGTAAATACTACAGCTGTAGTATTGTAGTTATGGTCCATTTATTGAAAAAAATAAAATTCCTAGGACTTAAATTTTGACTGCTTCAGAATATGGGTCTTAGGCTTCCTCTTAATTTAAATATATTTATCTAAAGAGTTGAGGTGAATGGCCTATAACAATATGTTCTACCCAAGTGCCCATCATCTGGGTAAGGGGCTCCTGTGCCCATCATCTGGGTAGGGGGCCCCCTGTGCCCATCATCTGGGTAGGGGCCACTGTGCCCATCATCTGGGTAGGGGCCCCTGTGCCCATCATTTTGGTAAGGGGCCCCTGTGCCCATCATCTGAGTAAAGGCCCCCTGTGCCCATCATCTGGGTAGGGACCACTATGCCCATCATTTTGGTAAGGGCCACTGTGCCCATCATTTTGATAAGGGGCTCCTGTGCCCATCATCTGGGTAGGGGCCCCCTGTGCCCATCATCTGGGTAAGGGCCCCCCCTGTGCCCATCATCTGGGTAAGGGAGCCCCTGTGCCCATCATCTGAGTAGGGTGCTCCTGTGCCCATCATCTGGGTAGGGGGCCCCCTGTGTCCATCATCTGGGTAAGGGGCCCCCTGTGCCCATCATCTGGGTAGGGGCCACTGTGCCCATCATCTGAGTAGGGGCCCCTGTGCCCATCATTTTGGTAAGGGGCCCCTGTGCCCATCATCTGAGTAAGGGCCCCCTGTGCCCATCATCTGGGTAGGGGCCACTGTGCCCATCATTTTGGTAAGGGCCACTGTGCCCATCATTTTGATAAGGGGCTCCTGTGCCCATCATCTGGGTAGGGGCCCCCTGTGCCCATCATCTGGGTAAGGGCCCCCCCTGTGCCCATCATCTGGGTAAGGGAGCCCCTGTGCCCATCATCTGAGTAGGGTGCTCCTGTGCCCATCATCTGGGTAGGGGGCCCCCTGTGTCCATCATCTGGGTAAGGGGCCCCTGTGTCCATCATTTGGGTAGGGGCTCCCCTGTGCCCATCATCTGGGTAAGGGTGCTCCTGTGTCCATCATCTGAGTAGGGTGCTCCTGTGCCCATCATCTGGGTAGGGGGCCCCCTGTACCCATCATCTGGGTAAGGGGCTCCTGTGCCCATCATCTGGGTAGGGGCCCCCCTGTGCCCATCATCTGGGTAGGGGGCCCATCATCTGGGTAAAAGGCCCCCTGTGCCCATCATCTGGGTAAGGGGCCCCCTGTGCCCATCATCTGGGTAGGATGCTCCTGTGCCCATCATCTGGGTAAGGGGCCCCTGTGCCCATCATCTGGGTAAGGGGCCCCCTGTGCCCATCATCTGAGTAGGGGGCCCCTGTGCCCATTATCTGGGTAAGGGGCCCCCTGTGTCCATCATCTGGGTAAGGGGCCCCCTGTGCCCATCATCTGGGTAAGGGGCTCCTGTGCCCATCATCTGGGTAAGGGGCCCCCCTGTGCCCATCATCTGAGTAGGGGGCCCCTGTGCCCATTATCTAGGTAAGGGGCCCCTGTGCCCATCATCTGGGTAGGGGGCCCCCTGTGCCCATCATCTGGGTAGGGGCCCCTGTGCCCATCATCTGGGTAGGGGCCCCCGTGTCCATCATCTGGGTAGAGGCCCCCTGTGCCCATCATCTGGGTAGGGGGCCCATCATCTGGGTAAGGGGCCCCCTGTGTCCATCATCTGGGTAAGGGGCCCCCTGTGCCCATCATCTGGGTAAGGGGCCCCTGTGCCCATCATCTGGGTAGGGGCCCCCTGTGCCCATCATCTGGGTAAGGGGCTCCTGTGCCCATCATCTGGGTAGGGGGCCCCTGTGCCCATCATCTGGGTAGGGGCCCCCTGTGCCCATTATCTGGGTAAGGGGCTCCTGTGCCCATCATCTGGGTAGGGGCTCCCTGTGCCCATCATCTGGATAAGGGGCTCCGGTGCCCATCATCTGGGTAGGGGCTCCTGTGCTCATCATCTGGGTAGGGGCCCCCCTGTGCCCATCATCTGGGTAAGGGGCTCCTGTGCCCATCATCTGGGTAAGGGGCTCCTGTGCCCATCATCTGGGTAGGGGCCCCCTGTGCCCATCATCTGAATAAGGGGCTCCTGTGCCCATCATCTGGGTAAGGTGCCCCTGTGCCCATCATCTGGGTAAGGGGCCCCTGTGCCCATCATCTGGGTAAGGGGCCCCAGTGCCCATCATCTGGGTAGGGGGCTCCAGTGCCCATCATCTGGGTAGGGGCCCCCTGTGCCCATCATCTGGGTAAGGGGCCCCTGTGCCCATCATCTGGGTAAGGGGCTCCTGTGCCCATCATCTGGGTAGGGGCCCCCTGTGCCCATCATCTGGGTAAGGGGCTCCTGTGCCCATCATCTGGGTAAGGGGCTCCTGTTCCCATCATCTGGGTAAGGGGCTCCTGTGCCCATCATCTGGGTAGGGGCCCCCTGTGCCCATCATCTGGGTAAGGGGCTCCTGTGCCCATCATCTGGGTAAGGGGCTCCTGTGCCCATCATCTGGGTAGGATGCCCCTGTGCCCATCATCTGGGTAAGGGGCCCCCTGTGTCCATCATCTAGGTAAGGGGCCCCTGTGCCCATCATCTGGGTAGGGATCCCCTGTGCCCATCATCTGGGTAAGGGGCCCCCTGTGCCCATCATCTGGGTAAGGGGATCCTGTGCCCATCATCTGGGTAGGGATCCCCAGTGCCCATCATCTGGGTAAGGGGCCCCCAGTGCCCATCATCTGGGTAAGGGGATCCTGTGCCCATCATCTGGGTAAGGGGCCCCTTTGCCCATCATCTGGGTAGGGGCCCCTGTGCCCATCATCTGGGTAAGGGGCCCCTGTGCCCATCATCTGGGTAGGGGCCCCCTGTGCCCATCATCTGGATAAGGGGCCCCTGTGCCCATCATCTGGGTAAGGGGCCCCTTTGCCCATCATCTGGGTAGGGGCCCCTGTGCCCATCATCTGGGTAAGGGGCCCCTGTGCCCATCATCTGGGTAGGGGCCCCCTGTGCCCATCATCTGGGTAAGAGGGCGCCATGCAGTGCCCATCATCTGGGTAAGGGGCCCCTGTGCCCATCATCTGGGTAAAGGGTTCCTGTGCCCATCATCTGGGTAAGGGGCTCCTGTGCCCATCATCTGGGTAGGGTGCCCCTGTGCCCATCATCTGGGTAAGGGGCCCCCTGTGCCCATCATCTGGGTAGGGGCCCCTGTGCCCATCATCTGGGTAGGGGGCCCCTGTGCCCATCATCTGGGTAAGGGGGCGCCATGCAGTGCCCATCGCCTGCTAAACAAGTGTGATTTTGAATGCGCAACGCAGTATGGAAAGTAAACAAACTGTGACTTCATGTACATGTACATCAACTCTTTGACATGTACAACCAACGAACACCTCTATGGTGCAGCTCTTGAGTGTTACCCTGCCCTGGAGCACCTGTACCCCTGAACGCTGCCCGTATACGCTGCCCTGGAGTACCTGTACCCTTGAATGCTGCCCTGGAGTGCCTGTACCCCTGAACGCTGCCCTTATACGCTGCCCTGGAGAACCTGTACCCTTGAATGCTGCCCTGGAGTGCCTGTACCCCTGAACGCTGCCCTGGAGAACCTGTACCCTTGAATGCTGCCCTGGAGTGCCTGTACCCCTGAACGCTGCCCTTATACGCTGCCCTGGAGAACCTGTACCCTTGAATGCTGCCCTGGAGTGCCTGTACCCTTGAATGCTGCCCTGAAGCACCTGTACCCTTAAACGCTGCCTTGGAGTGTCTGTACCCTTGAACAATGCCCTTATAACCTGCCCTGGAGCACCTGTACCCCTGAACGCTGCCCGTATACGCTGCCCTGGAGTACCTGTACCCTTGAATGCTGCCCTGGAGTGCCTGTACCCCTGAACGCTGCCCTTATACGCTGCCCTGGAGAACCTGTACCCTTGAATGCTGCCCTGGAGTGCCTGTACCCCTGAACGCTGCCCTGGAGAACCTGTACCTTTGAATGCTGCCCTGGAGTGCCTGTACCCCTGAACGCTGCCCTTATACGCTGCCCTGGAGAACCTGTACCCTTGAATGCTGCCCTGGAGTGCCTGTACCCCTGAACGCTGCCCTGGAGAACCTGTACCCTTGACGGAGTGCCTGTACCCCTGAACGCTGCCCGTATACGCTGCCCTGGAGTACCTGTACCCTTGAATGCTGCCCTGGAGAACCTGTACCCTTATACGCTGCCCTGAAGCACCTGTACCCCTGAACGCTGCCCTGGAGCGCCTGTACCCTTGAATGCTGCCCTGAAGCACCTGTACCCTTAAACGCTGCCTTGGAGTGTCTGTACCCTTGAACAATGCCCTTATAACCTGCCCTGGAGCACCTGTACCCTTGAACGCTGCCCTGGAGCACCTGTACCCCTGAACGCTGCCCTGGAGTGCCTGTACCCTTGAACGGTGCCCTTATACCCTGCCCTGGTGCACCTGTACCCTTGAACGCTGTCCGTATACACCACACTATGGGTACATCCACTCCCGCATCACATACCTTCAGAGCCATGTTGAAAGGCATTATTCTTCTTCCTGGGATCCTTTTTCTTCTTGTAGCCGACGTGGGAAGCACTGGACTTGTCATCTGTGAAACCTTTGTAGTACAGAAAATTCATCTTCCAAGCTTCGGTGTTGTTGGTGTGGCGGCCCTCCTCCTCCTCACTCTCCTTGCATCACCCGCGCCTCAAGATGGCTCAGATTTCTGAATTGTTTTCTATGGCTGTGCTCTTTGTCCAGCGAATCACTATACATTAGAGTGAGGTAGATGAGAGTGTGACTCGCTACAGGTCACTGTATAGTGCATGGGGGTCGCTGTTAGTGCAGTAAGACACAAGGAAGCCTCCATCCGCAAGCTACCAGAAGCGCTTACTTTTGAGAGCAAGACTAAACGCGCTAGGCTCCCAGCTCTTTGTCGATGCTACAATTAGTTCATTTAGTATCTCATTCACTAGTTAACACAGTTAAAATTCTAACACTTTTTCGTGCGCTCACTTCGATTCAAAGCGTTTTACCTTAATGTACAAAATATATTATATTTGTGGAGTTGTTGAGTATGTTCCCGAGGAGAGGAGCCTAGCCTCGTAGTTCTCACAACACCACTAGTTACTGTACACCAGCCCAGCACGCTACTTGCGCCGTCTCCTCTTCACACCTTTATCTTGGGCTAGAAAGATGCCAATTGTTTCTCTGGGCACTATTTCAAGTGACACCTGTTTGGCAGCGGTGTTGGTTATGGCGTCAACGGTAGTTTGGTGGTGAGGCCGGCTTCAGGAGGTCAGTCTGGGCGCCAGCCGGCTGCTGCAGGTACCACCTTTATCACCAGCTGTACTTGTGACCATCTTATTTGATGTTGTTGCCAGCATGCTATCAGCATGCTGGTGGTAAAATGTAGTGTAATGAATCAGCTGGTGCTGTCCGCCATCTGTCAGGAGACGTGGTCAAGGCCATGACGCGCTGCTTCAACTTTTATTTGTTGTATCAATTGTTAAAAAAAAGTTTGTATGAAATGCTTAACGTATCTCAAATGATCATGATCAATGCTGTTTTTCTTTAATTTAGAAATGTGATGCCTGGTGATAGAAAATCCCATTACAAAGCAAAGTTCAAGTCTTCGGCATTCATATCACCTAAGTGCCCTCCATGGTTGAGCGGAACATAATAGTATGTATCCAGCACTAGTCGTGTTAGTGTAAGAGAAGTGAGGGATCCCTTCCACCTCCCCGCTCCTGTGCCAGGTAAGTACACTGCGGGCTCACCATAGCCCGTGCTACTTGCCCCACTCCTGTGCCAGGTAAGTACACTACGGGCTCACCATAGCCCGTGCTACTTGCCCCACTCCTGTGCCAGGTAAGTACACTACGGGTTTACCATAGTCCGTGCTACTTGCCCCGCTCCTGTGCCAGGTAAGTATACTACGGCCTCACCATAGCCCGTGCTACTTGCCCCGCTCCTGTGCCAGGTAAGTACACTGCGGGCTCACCATAGCCCGTGCTACTTGCCCCACTCCTGTGCCAGGTAAGTACACTACGGGCTCACCATAGCCCGTGCTACTTGCCCCACTCCTGTGCCAGGTAAGTACACTACGGGCTTACCATAGTCCGTGCTACTTGCCCCTCTCCTGTGCCAGGTAAGTATACTACGGCCTCACCATAGCCCGTGCTACTTGCCCCGCTCCTGTGCCAGGTAAGTACACTACGGGCTTACCATAGCCCGTGCTACTTAGAACTTTGTGTTCCGAGTAGCTGAATCTAAAACAACAACAACCCTTCGAGCCAACAGGTGGCGCCTGGGGGGTGTACCAGCGCCAGGGATGGTGCGGTGGGCGGGTCCCAGAGGTGTCGTCGGGAGGAGGGTGTTGCCCCCAGGGGCTCGGTGTGGTACACAGCGACGTCGTCGTTGTCCCGAACAGCGGCAGTAAACAAGGGATGTGGAACACAGCTGATGCCCAAGGCGCGCCGGGCTGTGTACTGCCAACACATGCCTCTCGCCCGCTCCCTTCGCCAACATGTCCTCAGAGTAAATATAGTCTGACGTTGCCTTTACCACATCAGTGCCATGATGGTGCTATGCCATGTGCCTCAAGGTTGACAGGTTACAAAAACTAGTTTGCTCACACACATGACCAGACTAGCGCTGTTTCACGGGATGACTTACACGTTAGTTAACGTATTATGTACGTTTTAATCCAGGTTATTGCAATAATAATTCCTTTATACCTTCATTGGTCTGTTACTTCAATGGGTTTACTGAGGACTCCATACGCATCCTGTGGGAGAGTGAGAGATGCAATGTGACATATTGAGCACAGGTACTGGACCTCCAATGATTTTAAACTAAGCAATTTACATTTATCTGAATTTACCTGAGGGCATCTAGCACTAGTGGCCTCGACGAGCACAGGAATATGGTGAACTAGTTACATATATTTGCTACTACCACACATAGTAGTGTGAAGATGAAGTGGAACAAAAGTAAAGTGAACCCCAGGTGCAATAGGCGATGCAGAGAAGCTAAAGAAAGATAAAAAAAAAGGCCTGAAAAATTACAGAGAGTAATAGAGAGAGGCACTAAAAAAGAACTAGGAATGAATACACCCGAATTAGGAGAGAAGCCGAGAGGCAATTTGAAAATATCATTGCTGCAAAAGCTAAGGAACAACCAAAGCTGTTTTATAGCCATATAAGGTAAAAAAAACTACTGCGAGACCACGTACTCAGATTGAGGAAACAAGCTATCACAGAGAATGATAAGGAGGTATGTGAGAAACTCAACGAAAGCGTTCAGGAGGTCTTTACATTAGAACCACAGCATGGAGACCAAGGTGGCAAGATGAAAGGCTGGAGGAAATACTAAATGACATTGTAGTCACTGAGGAAGAGAGGAAAAAATTATGGAGGAACTGGATGTGACTCAATGGGATCAGACCTAATCTCACCATGACTGCTGAAGAACTTTGCCACCCGTTGTCTAAAACTTTTAATCAAACACTCGAAACAGGAAGTCTCCCAAATGTTTAGAAAAATGGCAAACGTAGTCCCAATATTAAAAAAATTGGGATAGCAAGGAGGAACTAAACTAGAGACCAGTGTCATTGACAAGTGTTCCCTGTAAAGTGCTGGAGAAAGTAATCAGGTCGGTATGATGGAGCATCTTGAGAGGATCGAATTTGTGACAAAAAAATTGGATAAATTTAGAAATGGAGAGTCGTGCCTAACAAACTTGATAGAACTCTATGAGAAGGTTACTAAAGTAAGATAGGACAAGGAAGGCTGGGTAAACTGTTATTTTCTAGACAGTTAAAAGACATTTGATGCTGCTCCCCCATGATAGCCTACTGTACAAGATGGAGAACCAGCTTGGGATAACTGGGACCACACTGAACAGGGTAAGGGAGTACCCGAAGAATAGAAAACAAAGAATCACAGTCAGAGAGGAGGTTTCAAGCTGGAGGAATGTAACAAGTGGAGGTCCCACAAGGCTCTGTCCTGGGACTACTACTCCTCCTAATTTATGTCAACGACCTGCCCGAGGGAGTGACCTCGGATATGTCAATGTGTGCTGATGATGCCAAGCTGATGAGGAACGTGAAAACAAAGGAGGAATACAGAAAGTTACAGATGGACCTTGACAAACTTTAGGAGTAGTCAGACAAATGGTTGCTGGAGTTCAGTCGCAACAAATGTAAGGTAATGAGGATGGGAAACGGGAGACCAGACGGCATCTACACTAAACGTGAAGGCAGCTATAGGAATCAAGAAGAGAGAAGGATCTGGGAGTATCTATCACTCCGACACTCACACCAGAGGCACACATAAACTGGATAACATCTGCAACATATGCGACGCTGACAAATATAAGAACATCGTTTAGGAACCTGAATCAGGACTCCTTCAAATCAATCTACACAACATTTGGTTGACCAATATATATATATATATATATATATATATATATATATATATATATATATATATATATATATATATATATATGGTTGACTAAAGCTATTTACACTTTAGAATTGATTACATCAGAAGGTAATATGAGAACTGCAGGAGACTAAGTACAGTATTTGACATGCTCAACGTACGATATTGTGGGAGCGTGTACACACCTACACCTCTATTAGAAGCCTCAGGGATAAACTCGTGACCCGCGCTTGTAGTGCTATATTAATAGTTGAGTCTTAGTATACACACACACACACACCTCCGCAGGTGTGTGTGTGTGTGTACTCAACTAGGTGTGCTTGCGGGGGCTGAGCTTTGGCTCTTTGGTCCCGCCTCTCAACTGTCAATCAACTGGTGTACAGGTTCCTGAGCCTATTGGGCTCTATAATATCTACATTATAAACTGTGTATGGAGTCAGCCTCCACCACATCACTGCCTAATGCATTCAATTTACTAACTACTCTGACGCTGAAAAAGTTCTTTCTAATGTCTCTGTGGCTCATTTGGGTACTCAGCTTCCACCTGTGTCCCCTTGTTCGTGTACCACCCGTGTTAAATAATCCATCCTTGTTTACCCTGTCAATTCCCGAGAATTTTTATGTGGTGATCATGTCTCTCCGAGCTCTTCTGTCTTCCAGTGTCGTAAGGTGCAGTTCACTCAGCCTTTCCTCGTAACTCATGCCTCTTAGTTCTGGGACTAGTCTAGTACCGTGGCATACCGCTGAACTTTTTCCAGCTTGGTCTTGTGCTTGACAAGGTACGGGCTCCATGCTGGGGCCGCATACTCCAGGATTGGTCTTAAAATGTCGAATACAAATTCACAAGAGACCGTTGTGGTGAAAACTTCTGATGACGTACAATTATTTAAACAATTGTACATGAGGCTGTAAATAATTATTCATGGGGTACAATTATTCATGATCTAAACAATTGTACATGAGGCTATTGTACATGGAAGAGATGTCTATTGGGTAAATGTTCCGAGTAGTAGCCCTAGTATTAATGTTATAATACATAATCGTATGAGGTGAATATGTGGGTGTATGACATAGGTATAATTAAGGCAAATTTTGTATTTAATGCCTGTAAAATTTTGACCTCTCTGCCTAGTTCCCTTCCCACAATTGCTGCATGCGCCAGCTGACCAGACCACAGACTGGTGAAGGGACGACGACGTTTCGGTCCGTCCTGGACCATTCTCAAGTCGATTGTGCGACTTGAAAATGGTCCAGGACGGACCAAAACGTCGTCGTCCCTTCACCTTCTAGTGTGTGGTCTGATCAACATTCGCTAGCTATCTGTAAATATATTTTCTTCCCCGGGCGCAGAAAGAACAAAGCCAAATTATTTCCATTTCAACACGTACTATCTAAGAATCCTGACTCTCCTGCAAATACAACAGAAAAAATAAGATGAATTAGACCAGCATTTTTGTTGGCTTTCACTGTTAAAAGTTAGCATCTACACTTATACTGTGAAAGCACAGTTTGTCTCTCCAGACCAACAAAAAATAATAATTAATCACTGTGAAAGCAGACAATGCGGCCAAGGCCGGGGAATATGTAGCCTGGTGGATAGCGCGCAGGACTCGTAATTCTGTGGCGCGGGTTCGATTCCCGCACGAGGCAGAAACAAATGGGCAAAGTTTCTTTCACCCTGAATGCCCCTGTTACCTAGCAGTAAATAGGTACCTGGGAGTTAGTCAGCTGTCACGGGCTGCTTCCTGGGGGTGGAGGCCTGGTCGAGGACCGGGCCGCGGGACACTAAAGCCCCGAAATCATCTCAAGATAACCTCAAGATATGTCTATCTGTCTAAGGACGTATCCACTACACCTATAAAACTTACTGAACAGTAAGAACTTTTGTGTTCAGTAAAACTTACAGAACACAAATTAGTCGTCAAGGTTGCTGTCATTATGAACACGTTGCAGTTACAGTGGTAAAGCACTGGCCCTGCGCTTCGCAAGCGCCTAGGCCTGGGTTCGTATCCCGGGGAGGATTGACTGTTCACCCAACAGTAAAATGGGTACCAGGTTACACACAGAAATCACAATACCGTGATGCATCAAATGATTAAATTCACAAGGGCCGTGACGAGGGTTCGAATCTACATCCGAGAAGGAGTTAATATAGCTCAGTCGATTAAGGCAGCGTCTGGGGTGCTCTCATACGTAGGTTCTAACCCTCGTCGATTGATTGATTGATGAAGATTAAGCCACCCAAGAGGTGGCACGGGCATGAATAGCCCGTAAGTGGTGGCCCTTTTGAGCCATTACCAGTATCAAGAGCTGAT